CCCTTCTACTCCACTGCATGTTCCTTCATATAATCTTTTTTTTCTGTTTTGAGTATTTATTGTATCAGTGTTATCATGGAATACAAGCATGCTCTTAAGTCTTAAATTATGCAGTACCTTTTAATTTGCTTTTAATGTCTTTTTATTAAAGTTTAAATGATATGATGTTGCTTTATTGAAATGATTTGTAAGTTAAAATGGTTATGAAAGTAAATGTAATTATAAATAGTATGATTTTGTTATGCACCTGTTGCCTTCTATAAATTAAATTGCATTTTATTTTTACATGACTAATAGCAATAATAATGCATGCATTTACTAGTAACATGGACCCTTCCTGTAACCCTTTCTAATCCCGTGTTCTATGTGCTTAGGTAAATAATGCAACAGCACGTGTAATGACAAATAAAAAGACCGTCAACCCTTACACGAATGGTAAGTGCATGAGATCTCAGTGCTTTGTTTTAATGTCAGTGCATGTGAAACCTCACTCTCTGCTGACTGGGTGAACTCATCTGCTCATGAAGGGTCATAGTCTGCATCTCCTTTGGTTCAGGTCTTGTTCAGTGACCTACAACATGGTATGGCCAAGCATAAATTCTGTCTGTGTAGAGTTCAGCTCATTGACAGCCATGTAGGCATAGCATGCATTGTTTTGCCTGATTGGAATCGGAGTGTTTACCCTCAATGTCTTTTGTGTCAAAAATATACCTGATAGGAAAGCGTTGTTCTCTTCTAGCTTTGTGCAGTGTTAATGTTCCGATGAATGGACTAATCGGAGGATTCAATTTTGCTTGGATGATGGAGATAGGGAGATCAGTAAGAAGAATGTCTCTGTCAGGCATGAGATACTTTTTTGTACCAAGACATGCATCTAGTCAAAAATAATCTTCTGTCTTCCTTACACAATTTTTTTGGAAGTAAAGGGAAAACTGTAATTGGATGCTGCTTCCAGCTTTTTTTTTTTTTCCCCTGGAAAAATCTGAATTCCAAGCTATCTAAAAACAATTATTCTAATCCTGACCAAAACTGTTGTAATGTTGTACATTAACGATGGAAAAATAATCCATCAATGATTGAGGGGTTTGGAAAGAATACATTTTAAAAATGTTTCCTTTGTCAGTGTTTGATCATGTGCTTGAATTGTTTGCATTTGCTAGTTCAGAAAATTCTAACAAGTTCCTAACTCAACAACGTCAAACAATAATACATCAATTGAAGTTAATTGCAATTATGTTTTCCAGTTTTACTACCCTACGCAGTTATAATTATTTGCTTTCCAATTTAATTTAGTTTTTCCCATTGAGTAAAAAGCAGATGAAATTTGCACATACATCAATAAAGCTTTCCACAGTCAGACTAGACTCTTTTCCACTTTGAAATATAATGGATCTTATTTTCTATATTTGAGGTCTCATTAGTGAGGTTTTACTAAAATCCAGGGCAAACAATGGCTTTATTTTTTCAATTTAAGGGTCACAATATTTCCTACCACAATATAGCGATGTTCTTCCTTTGGCAGGTGATAACTGAGTTAGTTGAAATGATCTGGAGAAGAGTCTGAAATTCCTCATGTTTTCTCAGAAACTCTTTTCACTTCCTCATTTTGTTTGTAAATGTGGAAATTGGCAAATGATGCAGATGGGAAAATGTCCATTTTTTACTGGCTTTCAAACATCTCAGTGAATCTAGTGAAAGAGACATGAAGCTTGACTGGATCACATAGCAAGACTTTGTGGCAACAAGGAGCTAAATTAACTATATGCATATGATACTATGAACTTTGTCAGCTATATTGCAATGATAAAGGATAAAAGCAGTTTTGTTTGAAACGGTGATGTATATTTGTATTCATATTATCCTAAGACTACAAAACTGTTAATTAGCAAATAACACATTACGTATCAGCACGTCCAGTGCTGGAGGTAGGGAATGCTGGAAATAGACATGTGAGATTTTTAGGAATCAGGTTTTAGAGGAAGTTCACCTCTCTGTCCTGTGCTGCAGGTCACTGTTGTTTCCCATTTAAGTGTTTTATCTGTCATTTTCCATCCTGTTCTATCTGGGCTAGATCTCACTGAAAGTACAAACCATCCAATTTAATGCATAAAAATTAGCATTTATGTTTGAATCCGTACATCCAAGGTGTTCTCTGCAGGATGTTCTTTTGAACACCTTTTGGTGGGTGTCTTCCAAGACAAACTCTGATTGTAGTTCATACATTTCATGCATTTTTTTGCACATGCCTATCTCCTCAGAACCACTTCTTTTTTAATGTGTGGCTTTATTTTGTCAAGGAATGTGTGGTGACTGGCATGTTGCTGGCAGATGTTCAGAACACAGTTGAGGCACACAACGAACTATATGAAAACATCAGACACTAATATTTCTCATAATTTAAAAATACAGTTTTGTCTGTCATTCCTGAATACTACTGGCTGTTTGATAACAGGGCTTTTGTTGGAAATATGATTGCATAAGCCGTAGATCTTAAAGCAGAAAATCCTAGTGTCTTGTTTTGAGTGTGGTGGGTGTTCTTTGGTTTGGGTTTGTGGTTTTTTTTTATATATATATATGCAGCTTCATTCCAATAAGTGGTTTGCTTTTGTGTCCTGGCTAGTTTTTGAAATGTGTGCTTTCCAGTGACTTTTGATGATTCCTGAAATGAGCAGTTGATAAATGCTCAGTTGCTAGGAGAGCTCTTCTGTGCAAGTTTGTTATCAGGCAGGATGATTTTGATGGCTGACCTCATGTGCTTTGGAGATAGAACTGCCTTTTCTTTGCGAATAAATTCAGTGTCAGGGGTTCTACTTGTTTGTAAAAATATTTCAGAGACATTTTTAGATCTTCCAGCTTATCCTGTTCACAGTTATACTTTCTTCTGATGCCTATATTGCAATTCACGCTGCTCATCCAAGTGCTGTAGGGAATAAAGAATTATGTGCAAGTAGATTCAGAGAACCACAGCAATGAATAGTAGAGGGATACATATGTTTTAAAGTTTATACTTGTGGTTTATTGAATTTGAGACTTCTGTTGTTCTAAAATTAGATTCAGATTCACAGCTAGTGACTATTAACATGGTTAAATTCCCTCCCACTCCCCTTCCCTCCCCTCTGCAAACAGAAGGAAAGCAAACAGTGTCACACGGCTTTTTGCCCGCCAAAGCAGTCCTCCAGCCATGAAGGGTCTGGTCTGTGAAGTGAAAATAATCCTCACTGTATTTCTGTGCCCCACTTTCTAATAAAGCTTATTACGCTGAGTAGTGTGATTATTTCCTTCCCTTCAGCACACTTAACCTGTATTTCTTTTGATAACTCTATGGGGTGGAGTTTTGGGGCAGGCATAAGGGTGGTTCCTTTCCTTCTTTGGTTTTCACGTTCTGAGCTTTTATAGTTTCAACCTGAGGAGGAGATTAATATTGTGACAGTAAGAAAAATGCACAAAACTACAGCCACTGCAGAGAATTTGCCTCTTCCAGCTGCTGAAGGAGGGTTATTTGGCAGATGCTCTCTCAGATACATCAACTTTATCACACTTGATTAACCCACACAGCTACAGGCCAGCACATTGCTAGCTGACAAGATAAAGTTAAGTTTAATTACTGTGATTTTCACAATGAATGAAGTATTTACTGTATAAGCTTCAAAAAGTTAGATGAGACAGCCATCCCTGTGAAAGAGGTTGGGAAATAAAAGATGGAAGTGCCTTTCAGCTGTGAAGAGCAATCTGTTTCTCCCAAGAGTTTCTTGCCTTCAGACAAATTGTGGTGCTCGGTGTAACTTAGATGCTGAGAGGTATCTCTCAGCTTCTTTGACAACAAAAGCTGACAGATCTGAAATTCAGTCCAATCTTTCATTTTGGATGGTGCTGATAAGTGATCTTTTAAGGACTAATGACTTTGATAAATTCGAAATACTGATGTTTAAAAAATCTGAATTATTAAATATTCTCTAAGCCATAAAAAGTTATGTTTTTCTTAAAGTCTCAAAATTTGGATAACTTTTTATCACACCAAATTTGACTAGGAGTATTTGTTACACCACAATATTCCAGAATATAATCCTGTAATATGTGATATTGATGCATCAGGTAAATATCCTGTAATATTTTCAGAAGGAAAGTAATTTTAACCCTTCATGTTTGGCCATTTTTCAGCTTCTGTAATTGTCTTTTAGGTGCATATAGCAATTACATCTGCAGTGCAATTCCATGCAAAGCTGCTCTTGGCTCTGTTTGAGCTTATTAAAGCGTTGAATTTCAAAAACACCCCTCACCTCGGTTACTGTTAATTACTGGCAAACAGCCACTGTGCATCAGTTGGAGATAGCAGTATTTTTTAAAGGGTAGGAATAATTTTCTTTGGTGTTATTACTGAGATTTTGTGTTACACTTTTTCAGTCTTATAATGCATTATGGTTTTATGATCATCTACTGTCCTTTTGCATTACATATGGACAAGGCTGAAACAAGCCTCAATACAGTTTGCATTTAAATTCTTCTACTCTGGCTATTCTGATTTTGAAAAGCCTTCTTGTCTTGATTGTATTTTGCTTTCAGCAGCATAGCTATAGGATCTATTTAAAGTACCATAGTTCTTGAGTTTACAGGATGCTTTTGTTCAGGTTTTTTCTTCATTCCCATTTACAAATGGTGCTTCCCACTGTGATTCAAGTGTGCTTTTGGAAAATCCATTCTTTTCCTGTCCTAGTAGTTCAAATAATTGTTGAAACAGAGGAAAGAAAAAAGTATGGGTGGGGGCATGTTTTGTGGAGTTTGGAGTTAAGGGGGAGTGGATAGTGGAATTACCTGTGCATGAGCAAAACGCAGTAATTGTCACTTTCCCACAACTCAGAATGCTAAGTTTGTCAGGGTTTGCTCCTGCTGTTCTCTTACACCTTCCCCTTCAGTTCCTTTAGCACTGTCATCTTTAGCATCACATACGCTGTGAACACAGGCCCTGCTTCTGCAGCGTGCCCGTGGACTCCGGGCTTCCCTGGAAATGCCACATCAGTTGTAAGGACACAACAACAATTATTTGGATTCTGGCCAGAACACCTGATACAGAATATCGTTGGTTCTGTGCTTTGGTTTTATGCCAGCTGTGGGAGGACAGCGATTATTTAACACAATGACAGAGGCTGCATTTGTACCACTTAAGAGCGCTGCAGAATGTGACTGCAGCATTTTCGTACATGCCAGACACTTTATAGTAATATGCTAACAGCATTTATCAGGTGGTACAGCCACTTTTGGTACATACCTGTAATTGTCCTGTTTCAGTGCAGACAGTATGATGTAGCAATGCACGTGGGAAAAAACGCCTCTGGCATTTGACAGGGGTCCCGCAGTACATGAATCTCTTTCATGTCACAACACACATTTCCATACACTGTCTTTGCATTCATTTTTCCCAGAGTAGAATCAAGGTGCTGAGGTTGTTTGATTGCCTGGTAACCTACACTAACACATTTTTCGGAAAATTTTATGTCCAGCAAATGAACTGCTTTGGCCTCTTTGGCTTGTAACCAGAGTTAAAGCCATGAAAAAGAACTGGTCTGCTCCGGTACTGCATGCTGTGGGCATACCTGAACTTGTTCTGACTTAATGCCATAACTTAAGGGAATAAGTCCATTGCAGTTGTGCATTGCAGCCAAGGTACTACATGTCCAGAGAATGCCTTGTTTCATAACTTATTTACGAACTTCAGAGTCTGTTATTAAAGTTCAGTCATCTAAGATGCCTATAAAACTTTCATTAAAATGACCTTTTTAAAAGCCATTTTAACTGTATACCTCTATAAAAAAATAAAATTTAAATATTATCGCCATTATCATTATTACTAATTGCATTATTATATTATGTTTTTGTTTGCTGCAGGCTGGAAATTAAATCCAGTTGTTGGTGCAGTTTATAGTCCAGAATTCTATGCAGGTAAGGATTACGCTATATTTCTTCACGCAGTATTTTATTTTAGTATTCTTTAAACATGCAAAAATATGGAATGTACCTTTTGTGTGAGGTTTGGTTTCTTTGATTCATGTTATCTGCAAGTCATTTACAGATTTGTGACGCAGGGTTTTAAGTTACCTGAGCACACTCAAGTTTCTATGGAAGATATATGAATACCTTTTTATTGGAAAGTAGATAGTATAACTTGAAATGTAATGCAATATCCAAGTCTTACCTGAGATTTTATTTTATTTATAATTTCTTTAATATTTCATGTTTTAGAACAGTCACTTTCCTTCAGGAGCTATTTAAGCCTGTTGAGCAACAACAACAACAAATCTATTTGTAAATATATGGTTTTCTGTATATAACATGTATGTAGACACACATGGGTATAGAGTATCTCTGTTCATAATTTTTTTCTTGAACATTTTTCTTTACATTTTATATTGAGTTAGTTTCAAAAAATTTTTTAAATAAAATTTTTTTGTATTTTAAATCTATATTATCACTTGAGTCTTCAATGAGACCAAATTCTGATCCTGGTTATGATTTGGAGTTAATGAGATAGTCTTTTTTCTGCTGGGAATCCATCATGGCTAGCACCAGTGTCTAAATATGCTTTATCAACAGTATTGAAAACAAACATGGTTGTGCTTCAAAACTCAGTTGATATCAGAGGAATTTGAATCCTGCCCATAAGCCCAATCAATTGCAAGTCCTAAAAAAAAGCCATTTTTGAAAGCTAATCATTTACGTCTAAGACAGAAATAATCACTATAAATCCAAATGTTTCTAATAGCTAATAAAACTGCCTTCCTTTCTTCCATGAATTCCATGACTTTCATAGGAAACTGAATTTTTCAGTTTTCCATTTGGATCTGTTTCTCAGTTGTCTGCATATGTGCATACTGGATACAAACGTCTAATCATGTTTTTAAAACAAAACAAAAAAATCTGTTGCCACGTACTTAGATAATTGAGAATAAAGAGGTAATTGCAGAATATGTGCTTTACAGCAGGTAAAGAACACATACTAGGAAAACATTTTTTCACAGATGGTGGTTAAGCAGGGGAAGAGATTGCTCACAGAGCTGCGGAATTTCCAGTCATGAAGATATTTACTCCTCCACTAGGTAAAGCAGAAAAACTTCTGATAGTTCAAGGGACTTCAAGAGATAAAAGTTGTTACATAGGAGTACTATTACAAAAAAATACTTATTTTAAAAATAGTAACCTATAATGTCATTGAATCACAGAATGGTTTGGGCTGTAAGGGACCTTAAAGACCATCCAGTTCCAACCCCCCTGCCATGGGCAGGGACACCTTCCACTAGACCAGGTTGCTCCAAGCCTCATCCAGCCTGGCCTTGGACACTTCCAGGGATGAGGCATCCACAGCTTCTCTGGGCAGCCTGTCCCAGTGCCTCCCCACCCTCTCTGGGAAGTAGGTGAAGCACATATCCAGTGGTATCTACTAAGACAGATAAAAATGTTCCAATTAGGGTAAAAGTGGCACAGTATAATAAAAATACTAACTTGCCATTCATGGAATTGCAGTATTAAGTGTAGGCAGAATTTATTTCCTTCATTAATGTATGCCTGCATTGAAAACAGGAATTTAACATTGATCTCGTTTGAGTAGTTAGTGAACCAACCCTGAACCTGCATAAATTAGAAAGTCAGAGTTATTAGTCATTTTATATAAATGACTTTGTGTTAATGACAAATATAATAATATTCCCATAGTACAGTAATCAATTTTCTAATACGTATGCAGAATTAACAATCTGACTTATAATTGTCTCATGAAGTAGGGCATGAAGAGTTCACATAGTTTGTCAATTAAAATCAATATTTTCAATCTCTCCAGAAGGTAATTTTCCTAATTTACTGGACTTTTCCCTAACATTTATTTTGTCTTTTAATTATAAAATGGCAGGTTATTGATTTTTTTCTTTATAACCTCCTAAAGTCCCAAGTGCATTTTTATTGCCAACACAAGGGAGGTGTTTGCCCTTCTTAATGAGAATCTTTAATTACCATTAGAAGAGTATTAATTTAATTTTATGAATTATGACATGCACTCCACCACACCTATGCAGAAAGTTCTATCAAGATACTTCATGAATTCCAGATTTTTTTTTTTTGTTTATACATGCAGGCAGCTTCTTTTTTTTTTTTTTTTTTAATTACATATTTTCTGTATTGACTAAAACATTTTTTTTTTTCTCAGACATGTAAGCTTTCTTTTAGTTTAGGAAAAAAATGCTCTTAAAGTTGTTGGAAAATGAAAGACTAAAGGAGCAATGCAGTTCTTGCATGCCTCAATAGAGTAGTGTGACATATCCTTCCTTTTGGTTTCTCTCCTCTCTCCACCTTACTTGGCAAGAAGCAATTGCACTTTTGAAGATTATAAAATCAAAAATGTGGTTTTAAGGCAGTCAAAGTTCTAGTTATTTTGTTTAATTATTGTCTCCAACACTGTCATGTTAAAATTGTACCAACTCTTTCATAGTCAGTGCAAGAAGTTCCTTTAGCTTCTAATAAATGATGAAAAATTTGGCCACTTCTGAAATAAAGATGATACATTTGCAGAGAAACTGTTGATTTAAAGCACCTTTAATCTTCATAAATAAGTAAAAAAACAGAAGGTTATACAAAGCTGTCAGGATGGCATTGATGAATGGCAAATTCACCCGTTTCTCAATTGCCGGTGAAGACACACGCCGCAAGGCTTAAGCGTATTGTACATCATATCTGCCAACTCATTTCTGTGATTAAATATTCCATCAGTGCGGGCTATAAGGCGGTAAAGCTTAACAAGATTCATAAGATGCACCACTTGAATACACATAACTCACTTCCTTGGATAGAGAGCACCCCGCATGCAAAAGAAAATTAGAATTGAGTTAAATTACTCCGTAAGACAAGATCAATAGAGAAAGGAAAAGATCTCCTAATGCAATGCAAATCTAAGATATAGTTATGTCCTGACAACTTGAAGCAGACAATTAAAGTCAAATAGGGAGGAATGCAATGTAAATCAACCCTAAAACCTTGAAGATAGTGGTAAACAGTAGGACCAGTGACATGATTGTTATAGCTCTGCTTTTTTTTCTGAATGTACACTTCTGTAAAAGAAAACCTTTACTGAGGAAATGCATGACAGCTAAAAATGGAGACTGTAAGATACATAGCAGATGCACAACAGACACTGTGTAAGTATTACTTGGGCACTGGAAAACTCTGTATGTTTACAAAATATTAGATTTTTCTTCCTCTCTAGCCCTTCTGAGACTGTTTTTCTGACTTTGAAATGTGCTTAGTAAATTAGAACGGTCCAGAAATATGACTGTGTGGGTCCCCTGGTGACATTAATATGGATTTCCAGCGACATGTTCATGAAGTGCAGTTGGAAGACTGCTGTTGTAACTCTGAGGCCTAGCAGGTCTCCCTAACAGCTGCCCACTGCAGATGTGCTGGTGAAATAGATACCTGGCCTGCCCTGTCCATGCGTCTGCTGGGAAGTCCTGAAACGGCACTTCATAGAAAACAAAAGGACAGCGATATTTTTTCATTTACAATTCTCAGCATCTCACAGAATTTACTTTTCCATGTATTATAATTCAACTGTAATTTTAAATAATGTCCACATAGTTTCCTTCTAGTAAATAAAAGGATACTATTTAAGGTGCTTTTTCTCCTTCTGAGAAAGAAATGCTTAATGAATTTATCATTTCCATGTCAGCTTATCACCTAAACCACAACATCCAGTAAACTATTTATCAAGTTCTTAGGCAGGTCCCAGTGAGGAAATTTGTAAGAAGCGCTGTGTGATTTGTCTCACAAAGTTTTCATGTAAACCGGAACAAATTTTTCACTTATTTTTATATCCACCCAATTCTAAATCCATCCCATAGTGACCCATGACCATGAGCTATGTTAAGCTAGAGTCTGTTATTTTCCCCATTACACTCATCTGTGTCTGGGAAAACACAGGTTTGCAGTTTGGTTTCTTTCCTAGGACTATTCTGGTACTTTCTTACTTTAAGTCCTTACATTCTTTGTCTCTGTGGTTTGTTATAATATCATTTTTACCTGCTTACTTATTTTTATGTAGTGCTTACTTTTACGTAGTCAGCCTTGGGGAATCTGAAAGCAAAGGTCTGTGTTTTTCCTTTCAGTTATTGCAGGCCTTTCTTTTTTTTCTCTTTTGGTTTTTGGAAGGATCAATTTTTGAGTACTTTCTTGCACTCTCCTTAGCGGAATGTGGAATGCTGTTGCACCTGTATTACTGCAACAAGTCAGTCCTTTAAAGCAGATAGTTTGAGGCACAGCAAGGACATTTTAAAAGACTTTGTCCTTTTAAGTGGCACAAAATATATTTTAAGGTGCATGCCTGTTGGAGAGGCTTCTTTCTGACAGTTCCAGTATGCAAGATGGGGAAAAAGATGTTAGAGAAATTACCTGGAAATATAATGAATCTTCCGTCAGAGAATAGTTGAATTCAGTGACCCACATAAGAAAATATTCTTCTCTGGTCATAACCAACAAACAGTATTTAAAAAATTTCAAAATTTAAGTTGGCAGTGGAAAAGAAAGGGCTTAAGACTAGTGAAGAGCCCTGAGAACAAGTCATGGAGTTCAGCTCATGACAAGTAATAAAGATCCTATTCTCCTTTTACTTAAGCAACTAATTACACATTATTTTTCCTGAATGCTCACAAAGTGCTAGAAGTTGTTCAGAAGCTAGTTTCAAGAGTCATCCTAAATAGCTGGGTAGTTGTATTCTCTTCAGAAATAGCCTGAACCTAGTGAGGACTATTGCAGGCACCCAGTTTCTTGAGCAGTTAGTAGTTATCATTCCAAGGTGGCGTGGAAAAATTTCCCCATTAGTCAAAATGAAAGAAAAGGGAAGAGCTTGTGCTTTGGACTATTTTATATGCGCTCGGAAGACAGAGTTTTATATGTCTGGAGCT